CCAGCACTGCCTACCCTGCCTGGCCTTCATGGCCTCAGACCATCACCCTTGGCCATGACCAACCTATGGTGCTACTGCCTCTCCCAAGAAACCTAGTCTCCTTTCAGATCCTTCTGAGCATGTATATCAGAATGTTCCAATTTTTTTGTGTTTACTAGATCCTTCTCTCTCGTGCTTTTTATTTTCCTCAAATTGTTGACAGTTCTTAATTGCTTGTTTTTATGATATCTATAAATTGAAGGAATTGGCTTATCAGTGTAAATAACTTGCATGAATGTATCTTACAGTATTTTAAAAGACCTTTTTGGGTTTTGTTTTTTTCATACAGGGACTCACTATGTAATCCAGGCTGACCTCAAACTTGAGATTCTCCTGCCTCAGGCTCCCAGTGGTGGTATTACAGACATTTGCCACAAAGCCCAACTTAAAGTCTATTTTGATAACAGTTCTCTTTAGTGTATAATTGGGAGAAGTTTAGTGGCAGGTTTTAGGTGTACATTAGGTGAGCAGGCAGGACACTGATTAATATTATCCTTGCTATTGCCAAAGTAAGAAAGGATTTGTTGAGAGCAGAATGTGAAATCTATTACAATATTTCATTCTTAGGAAGAGTTGCATTTTTCTTTGTGTTAGGAAAGTTTGATATTTTCTTGCCCATTTCTCTATTTTCTGGGCTTTATTTTCTTATGTTAGTTTTTCTGCATACATAGGCCTACCTATTCCATAGCAGTCCTATAGCTTTTTCTGACCATCACCCATTGTCTGCCCCTCCTTATTGTACTTTTTTGTCCTGTCTTGGAAGGGCCTTTGGGACTCTCTTGGGAAAAACAACTCTTCTGTAGGAGCTATCACTTGTTCCTATTTTGGATTATGATCCTTCTATTCAGAACCATTGGCTTTTTAGATTGCTGAAGTTTTAAAATTTTGTATCAATAGTACCTTTTCCTTGTTTCCAGCACTAGATTTATTTTCCTTTTTCTCTCTCCCCTTTCCCATGTTTCCCCTCTTTTTCATGGGATTTCTTTTTTCTTTTTTTGGAGGGGGGGTCGGGAAATGCAGTTTGAACTCAGGTTCTCTTGCTTGCTAGGTAGACACTCTACCACTTGAACCATGCCCCCAGTCCTTTTCAGATAGGATCTAGTGCTTTTTGCCTGGGGACTGGCCTTCATTGGTGGTGCTCCTGATCACCTCCTGAGTAACTGGCTTGAGCCATTGCATCTGGCTTCCATGGAATTTCGAGATGATGGTGAAATAAACAAGTACTCAGACTGATTTTATTTATTCAGCAGTATTTAATATGTATAGTTAATGTTCTAGATTCTGTGAAAAAGATAGAGGAATCCCATATCATAAAGCTTATATAAGTGTGTTTATATGTTCCCTTTTGCGGGGGGGTCTGGTTTTAGGGTTTGAACTCAGGGCTTCTTGCTTGCTAGGCAATGTTGTACTGCTTGAGTCATGCCTCCAACCTTTTAGTTGTGGTTACTTTGGAGGGTCTTGCTTTTTGTCCAGGCCGGCCTTTAAGGAGATCTTCCTGAACAGGCCAGAAAATAGAGGGGAAAGCTACTGGGGCTCTCAGGTGGCCAGGTAACTTTTCTTTGTGGTAATTGTAAAATCTTAGCACTTACAGTCATAGATCCCTTTTCAATTGTAAATCCCCTACAGCTGTAGAATAGGAAGCCATGGAGACTTCTGCCCTTGGACCGAATGCATGTAATTAAAATACCTAAGAACTAGCTTAAGTGCATGCCCAGAGTGTGTCAAACATGTTTCTGTGGGATGTGCCACAGAGACCACCCAGATTCTTCCTGGTTTTTGTCCTTTAAATTTATAAAAGGCCCTTGAAACAAAGATATGCTTCTTCTACCTCACCTGGCCAGGGGTGAATCACAGCTTTCTCTATGATACATAACTTTCCTTCACTGTTAATAAACATTACTACATTTCCGTGTCATGCTTGGATTCTTTCCATGCAAGACAAAAGAACCTAGGCATCTTCTGTCTAGAGTTTCCCAGAGACTACCCATCTGGTAACATCCCTACTCTCACTGGGATGACAGGTGCCCACTACCACGCCCAGCTTTTTTCTGTTGAGAAGGAGACTTGCAAACTTCTTTTGCATGGACTTGGCTTAGAACTGTAATCCTCCTGATCTCAGCTTCCTGCTTAGTCTGGGGTGACAAGCTTGTGCCCCCTTGCCCAGCTGTTGGTTGAGATGGAGGTCTGAAATCACCATCTTCCTGATCATCAACTTCCCAAGTTCCTAGTATTACAGGCATCATAAAGCTTATATTTTGATGGGAGAGACATACTAAGCTTACAGGTAAATAACAGATTGTGGAAGAGTAAAATATTAGGAACTAAGTTGGACTGGGAAACTCAGAGGGAGTGGCCTATACATTGCTATTTGAAGGGGGAAAAGCCTGTCTCATAAAGAGCCTTGGGGAGAGAGCTCTAAGTGGAAGGATTAGCAAATACATAGACTCAGGCAGAGAGAGGACTTGTTTAAAAGAAAGGCATGTCTGTAGTGTAGTAAACACACTGGTTACATTGGAGATAACTGTAAATGTCAGATCTTGTGGTGACTTACTCTTTGGTAAACAATTTTTACTTTATTCTAAATACCAGTAGAAAACTAATAAAAAGCTTTTTATTATCAAAGGTAATGAAGGGGAGCTATGCAACTTGAGGGTTTTTTTTAAAGATAATATTGGGTATGTAGAGTGAGTTTGACTAGGAGAATTGAAGAGATTGTGGATAAATTTTGCAGAGTATCTATGGACTTTTGTGAAGTATAGAAGCAAGATGAGTTACAAATGACAGGCTATTTGACTTGTGTAAGTGGTTGGTGCTATTTACTAAATGATGAAGGTTGGAGGAGGAGCAGATGTGGGGGTGAGAATCAGTTACTTTTTGATACATTTGAAGTAGAAGGAATTCAAGTGATGAGTATAGTTTAGAGTAGAGATCAGGGCTGTGGTGTAAACTTTGGAGCCATCATAACAATAGTGTTTAATGCTATGGGTCTTTAAAGGTTAAAAGAAAAGGATGGGACAGGCCCTGGGCTTTCACATTAGAGACTGAGAAAGCCCCTGTGATGGTGGTGGTGGGAGGGATAGGGACACAGCAAAGCTAATAAAAGGAATGGCTGGTCAGATAGTAGGAAACCTGGAGCCTGAAAATCAAATGAAATAACTTCAAGGAATCTCCGGAGTAGTCATCTTTGTTGACTTTTTGAGCGATGGCCTAAAATGATACAAAAGTGAAGTGTATTGAGTTTGGTAACAGGTTTTCTTGTTCTTGATGTTGATTCTTCTTTGACCTGAGAACTATAAGTAGTGGAGAGAATTTAAGAGCAAATGGGAGGTGAGAAAGCACAGGCACCACTTCTAAGAATCTGGCTCTGAAGAGGTTTGTGGAGATGGATGGGAAGCTGGAGGAGCAAACCTAAATTCAGTGTTCAACTTTAACAGGCATACTGTTAAGGGTACCAGTGGAGACACTTGGGTGTAAAGGGAGTTTATTAAAAATTAGTGAAAGAAAATTCAAGAAGGAGCATGGTGGGGCCCAGGTGGAATCTGGAGGCCTAGAGAGCATGTTCCCCCCCTTCAGGTACTGTTAAAATTTACGCTAGTCTAGGGGAGGGGAGGAACCAGGTGATTCTCATTCAGTAATCAATGAGTGAGGAGGTGTATGGGGGGTTCCCGGCCAGGTGAGGGTGGTCTCCGGGCCATCCCTGGGCAACCTACATATGAATCCTGAACTTTTCCTACTTCTAGCCTGCCTCAGTACTGTATAAAGCCTTACCTATTCCTTTTTTTAAAACTTTGTTTTTTTGAGAAATTCTTAACCGCATACAACAGTATACTGTGACCAAACCCTGCCACACTCAGTCCCTGCCATTGAGTATTATTTTGAAGTAAATCACATATAATTTCAGTTATAAATATTTTCTAAAAGATAGACCTTTAAAAAGTGAAGTGTAGGCTAGTGCCGGTGGCTCGAATCTGTAATCCTAGCTACTTGAGAGACTGAGATTGGGAGGATCATGGTTTGAGGCTAGCCCCAGCAAAAGAAGGAAAAAGCGGTGCTGTGATTACAAACATACACACGAGCATGCCCAAACACTACCTACCTACCTACCTACCTTCTTTCCTTCCTTCCTTTTTTTCCTTTCTCTCTCTCTCTCTCTCTTTTTTTAAACAGTAACCCGTTATACTTTTTGTATATTCTTTCAATTGTTTCCTTTAGTTCTTGTGATATAAATTTTCCTATTTGTTTTGGCCTTTTACTTAGGTATTTGGGGGGATTCTCTTTGGTGCTTTTGAATTCACATATGTATTGAAGCAAGTTTTTTTTTTCTATACAGCATTTTTTTGTTTAGAAAGGGTGGATTCTTGAATTAATTAAATCACCATACTTAGTAAAGTTCCTCTATTGTTACTCTTTTATATAACAACATTGTCTTTATCAGTTATTATCTCATCTGTGCTTTAAGTGAAAACTATTCAGTTTTTTAGTGTTTTAAAAATATTTTCTATGGATGCTCTGTTTCATTTTTATTGTAACCTTAATATATTATGCCTAAGGTCAGTTTTGGTTTTGCATACTTGACATATTTCAGTCTATAATTCAGGTAGGTGGGAAGAAAGGAATGAAATTTTGTTTTCGTTTTCTAATATTTCACCATTTTAAACTTGGAAACAGGAGTTAAAAGGCAGATAGGTTGCTGTGGAATTGTTTGAAGTTGTAGGAGCTGAAATTTAAAGCTGACAAATGAAAAACTGTATTTTCCAGTATTCCACGTAGCTCATGTGTTATGTGAATGTTTGAGGTTTTTTTCCTGTATGGGTATGGGGACCATATATGGCTGTAGTTTTATAAAATATGCCAGGAAGCATACTCTAGTGCTATTTAGAAAGTAAAAGGAAGACAATGAGAACTTGGGCAAACAGTTCTTGCTAAGCCCTAAAACGTATCACTTTTATTCATCCATACAGAAAACAAGCATGAGGCCAAGAGGAGGCGAACAGAGAGAGTTAGGAGAGAGAAGATAAATTCTACAGTAAATAAAGATTTAGAGAACAGAAAGAGGTCTCGAAGTAACAGCCATTCAGATCATATCAGACGAGGAAGAGGAAGACCTAAAAGTGCATCTGCCAAAAAGCATGAGGAAGAAAGAGGTATGGATAAATCTTAGCAGCTTTTTTTCAAGTTTTAAAATGATCAGAGATTAATAATTAATAATTAATAAATAAGATAGTAGAGGCAGTGGACTCCTGAATTTAAAAATCACAGCTTGTATTTTAGTTTAAAAGCATTTCTTCTATGGTAGATGCTTTGTTTAAAAAAAAAAATCTCAATCTGAAATTCTTTTTGGAAACCTAAAAGCTTAAGTTAGGTAAAATACACTTTTCTATAAACTGACGTTAGTAGAGTTTAGATAAGTTTGTATATTCATCTTTGAGAAGCCTGTTAAAATGGTTGTACTTTTTTTTTTTTTTAAAGAAAAGTGGAAGTTGAGTTATTTCAAATTTCTTTACTCTTGAGTTTAAAAACTTTACTACTTAAAGTGTTCTTGGTATGCATTTTTAAATTGCTTTTTGGGAGATTTGTATACTCCCTACATAGAAGCAGCTTTTGCTTAGGTAGGTGAATTCTTGATTGAAAGTATATTTCTGTTTCTCCTTGTAGGTCTTCTCTTTACTTCTCATAAGTAGTATGTCTACCAGTAACTTGTTTTTAGCTGTTAACTACAACTTTAGCCTTTGAGTTGTTTCTTTGAATTACATGTCTTTAAAAAAATTGGGGGGCTGGATGAGTGGCTCAAGTGGTAGAACACTTACCTAGCAAGTGTGAAGCCCTGGGTTCAAACCCTAGTACAGCCAAAAAAAAAAATGGAAATTTTCAACATGTAAAAGAGTAGGGAGAATATTATAATCACCCCCGATATGCCCATGAATGTCTTTTTAAAATTGAGACTTTCAAGGCAGTAATTACGGGGAAAAAAAGGGTAATTTCTCTTTATATTTCTTTAGAAACCTGTGAAAATGATTTCATCTTCAGTTAAATGTATTTATAATTTCATTATTTGAGAGTTATACTTTAGGCTTTTTTTCAGACATTTATTGTTAGGTATTCAAGTGCTTTCTATATAAATGTAAATTTCTACTATTTGAGACACTGAGAATTTTCTACCTGTTCATCATTTTTCTGTGCTTTGTGTGCTTTTATTTGAACAAAGTTAGTACTGCTGGACGAAAAAACTTCACTACTATAGTTGTCCCTAGATTTTTATCAAACTTAAAGATGTCTTAATAATGTGTGATTAGAAAAATAAGGCTTACTTATTATTATTTATTATTAACTGTATTCTGTGAATGCTGCAATTAGGTACTCCTAATTTCCTGGACAATTTTGCTGTTTTTCTCTTTCCTTCTATTATGCTTTTCCTGAGATTTGATTTATTAGCTTAATTTGAATGTGCTTTAGCAATGGGATCACCAGAAAAATCTATGTCAAAGGTATTTTAGAGGAAAACTGGGTAAAGAAAAGTCAACAGACATGAAAGAAATACTGCTTGGTCCAGAAAATAGAACATTCTTTTCATTCTTTTTAGTTGAAGTAAAGGGAATATAACAAAGTACAGAGAACAAATGCAGTGGTAAGAGGAAATGAGAAAACAGATAATGGTAGGTTTTGGGGTTTTTTTTCTTTGTTTTTGGTAAGGAAATGAGGTCTGAATTATGCTAGGACTTTATATGTGTAGGCTTATACTTTTATTTCATTATTACTTAAAAAAAGCATTTATTTGGCAGTAACTTTTTCTATAGTAAAAATTTTTTTTTCCCCTCTCTGTGATGCTGGGATTAAACCCAGGGCCTATACATGCTAGACAGGTGCTGTACCGCTGAGTTACATCCTTAGTTCAAGATAAATTCTTTGAATTTTATTTATATATTTATTTTGCGTTACTGGAGTTAGAACTCAGGGCTTACCCCTTGAGCAACTCCACCACTCTTTTTTTGATGGATTTTTTTGAGATAGGATCTCAAGAACTGTTTGCCTAGGCTGGCTTTGGACCTCAGTCCTCCTGATCTCTGCCTCCTAAGTAGCTAGGAATTCAGGCACGAGCCACCAGCACCCAGCTCTTTCAACTTATTTGTGTTTGATAAAAATCACAGCAAAATGCTCAAAGCAAATTTTGTAGATTTTTTTTTCTTTTTGAGACTATATTTTGCTGTGTACTCCAGACTGGCCTCAAACTCAACGATCTTCCTGCCTCAGCCTCCCAAGTGCTGGGATTATAAGTGTGCGCCACCATGCCTGAATAAACTGGAATATTTTAATGTAGACTTGGGGCATCAGCAAAGTTTTTCTGTACAGAGCCAAAAAGTAAATATTTTAGGTTTTGTGGACCATACACTCTCTGTCACAACTATTCAACTCTGTCATTGTAGCTGGAAATAGCTATAAATGATATGTAAATGAGTGAGCATAGCTATGTTTCAGTAAGACTTTTCGACAGGATGGGTGAGAGTTGACACCCAAACTGTAGTTTATCAATCCTTAAAGTAGACATACAGTATCCTTAATTTCCCATATAATATGTGAAACTATGAGCTTTTGAAATGTCTATGTATTTTAATATACACTTCTTTGGTAATGCTTCTTAAGGCTGGGTAACTATTTAGTTTATTTCAGTTTTGTTTTGTTTTCTTTTCTTTTCTTTTAAGTGTGTGCCTCACGCTTGCTAGGCAGGCACTCTACCACTTGAGCCACTTGCCAGCCCTATTTCTGCTTTTATTGATTCCTGCTTTCAAGGCACTTGAAAAATTTGAAGCAAGCTTTAACTTTATTTTAACATGTGAATTAAGGAAAACCTGATGGTGCATTTAAAAACAAAACTTTAAAGATTTGACTTTATTATTTTCTATTTTGAAAAAGAATAGGAAGTAGAAAAAATGGAAAAGTGAAGTTCCTTTCCTCCTATGTTTATCCTTTGAAAAGAATAAGATAAAGCAGAGTTTTTGATCTAGAGAACACCAGGCATTGTTGAAGGCAGGGATGCTATAGGAAGCTCAGGAAGATTAGGTGAAAATTGGACATGATGAATATTGAGCTCTCTGGTCAGGCTTATATCTTCCAGGTAAAAGAGATTAGAGGTGGATTGGAGGCATGGTTCAAGCAGTAGAGTACCTGCTGTGAAAGCATGAAGCGAAACCCTGAGTTCAAATACCAGTTCCACCAAAAGGAAAACAGAGAGAGATTGGAAGTAATCTCTTCTCATGAATATGAAGAGCCCAAGAGAAAAAGCCTATAATAAAAATAATGTCATTAGTGAGTGATTTCACAAAGAAATGGCATAGATAGACTATTTTGTTCTGATTACTAGTGTCAGACTAATCATCTTTTTTGCTCACACTTCCCACCCTCATTGCTCCTGTTTGTTCACACTTTTTTTTGTTGTTCATACTTTTAAATACAAACATATTACTGGGAATTAACCAGATATCTGGAAGAAAGCTTCTAGTATGGAAGGCTGAGACTACATCAGAAGAAGAAAAAAGATAAATTAGAACAAGTTTTTGCAGGGAGCATAAAAAATAAAAAAATATCATTAATATCTAGCAAAAGAAGCTAACTAATCATGAAAAAAGAACAAGATGTTTGAAAGTCAGTTATGGAGGTCAAAAAGATACCTGGAAAGTAGATTTCAAAATATGAACTTTAAAACATTAAAAAATATACAGAAATTTTTTAAAAACTAATAAAAGGTCTAAAGATTACTGAAGTAAGATTCCAGAAAATACAGCAATAGGAAAAGAAATGAAAAAATAGGATGGAAAAGATAAGAAATTTAGAGGACTAGCCTGAGGCCTAACATATAAAAGTAATTAAAGTTTCAGAAAAAGAACATAGAAGATGGAAGAGAAGAAAGTTGTCAATGAAATAATTCTACAAATTTACCCAAACCTGAAAGAATTGAAACTCCCATTCCAGTGGATGGTTAGAAATAGAAATTTTGCCAAAGCATATCATCATATATCTTTGGTTACAGAAAAATTCTTTAGGATTTCAGGGGGAAAAAAAGAAAAGAATTAAAGTGGCATTTGAATTAATGCAACAGAATACTACCTAATGAGGAACAGACTACTGCTATATGAATAACATTGATGAATTCTTAAAACATATTGAGTGAAAGAAGTAAACACATGCTGTACTAGATACACTACTGAATATACTAGATACATGCTATAGAATAATATTCTTTATATGAAGTTTAAGAAAAGGCAAAATGAGTTTATGGTAATAGAAATCAGCATGGATTAGGGGCTGAGGGAGTGGCTCAAGTGTAGAGCACCTGCCTAGCAAGTGGGGCCCTGAGTCCAAATTCTAGTACCACCAAAAAATGGGGCTGGAGGGATACCTCAAGTTGTGGAGCACCTGCCTAGCAAGCATAAGGCCCTGAGTTCAAATTCCAGTACTGCCCTCCCACCCAAAAAAGAAACTTTCTGGAGTGAAGAAAATTTTCTGTATCTTTCTTATTTTTTTTTTGCTGGTGGGGAGGGTGCAGGGGTGGGGTGGGGTTGTACCTGGGGTTGAACTCAGGGCCTGGAACTTGCTATGCAGGCTCTCTACCACTTGAGATACTACCAACCCATTTTCTGTGTCTCGATTGAGGTGTGGGTTACATGGCTGTATACATCTGTCAGAACTCATCCAGTTTCACTTAAAGGATCTATATATTTCACTGTATGTAAATTTAGCAATAATTTTAAAAATAACCTTGAAAAAAGTTTTGTCAACAGTGACACCAGTAGTGATAAGACAGTCTTAACAATTCTAAGGGGAAAAATCTGTAAGTCTTTTCTCAACCACACTACAACTTAATGTTAAAATAGACTAATGATGCTTTCTGATACTCAGGGTCTTAAAAATTGTGCTACCCATGATCCCTTTCTCAGGAAGCTACTTCAAGTTACATGCCACCAGAATGAAGAAGCAAATTAAGAAATAATACTAGGATCCAAGTCAAGAGGGAGATGAGGAGAATCTTCAGCATGGTGTTGAATTAAGGATCACAAGATGATAATTGTGCAGTAGGCCTAGAGATCAATCATTTCAGAGGAACAGGTTAGAAGACTTGGAAAGATTTCTTCAAGAAGATAAAACTAGTATCTAATATGTATAAACATCCTGAAAAAAGAATAAAAACTGGGAGAGAGTTTGAGTTGAATTAGAAATGAAAACTAATGAAAAGAGAATCACTTCAGGGAAAACAATGTGCAGGAAAAGTAGGCTCACTCACGTAGTTATAACAATGTAACACTGAACATTGATTTACTGAAAGTGTGAGCGGGCCAGGGACGTGCAGAATGTTTGAAATGAGGAAAACAAAATCCTAATTTTCCATGGCAGAAAGTGAATAATGTCCAAAACCAAGAAGTAGCATTCTTAACATTACTTACATAGTTGTATCAGAGAATAGGAAATGGGCATGGAGAGATGCAGAATGGACTTCTATTTTTTGTAACAGATTTTGTAAAAATGATTTGGCTAAATTTTATATGTGTGTTTAACTTTGATAAAATTGTCAACAAATTTAAAGAAAACAAAAAAATAGAATCATGGTAAAGTCTAAAAAAATAATTTGAAAGAATACACATCAATATGTTAATTGTAGTTTTAACTTGCTCATGATATCATAGGAAGTTCTGAACATGATTAATATTCAAAAAGGGACCATCTTTTTGGGTGAGAAGATTAATTTTGAGACAATTTATACAAGTGATGAAAAATAAGTAAATGAGATTCTTACAGAAATTATATGGCTATTAGACTGTGTGTGTATAGAAAAAATATATATGTATATACACATACACATATAGTCTCCATTAGGTCTTCATTTTATTAGCTCTTTTTTGTAATTAAAATTTAAATTACTTTTTTCAGTTTAGTAGCATAACATTGTATATTATAGTGGGCATAATATTTATTGTCATTTAAAGAAATACTTAAAAGTTTTAAGGTTATATAAAGAATACATTATTTCTTGCTTTTATATTAAGCTTTCCCTTTTTCTTTTAACAGAGAAACAGGAAAAGGAAATTGACATCTATGCTAACCTCTCTGATGAAAAGGCTTTCGTGTTTTCAGTCGCCTTGGCAGAAATAAATAGAAAAATTATCAATCAAAGACTTATTCTCTGATACTTGTCTGCAAAATTTGTTGAAACTTTTTGAGGATTACATCAGCAGATTCTCAAACCATTATGGACTCTCAGGAGCATTCTGACAGCATCAATAAGGGCCATTGATTGTTTTTTTTCTCTTATCATTTAGCCTGTGCCACTCTTTGGGAGCAAAGCTGTTGGCTTGGACTATTCTGGGATTTCCTTGTTTACCAAGGAGTATTATCAGTGTTTTGTGTGGGGATATAAGTAAGGGTATTTACAAAAAAAAAAAAATGCTGGACGAATGTTAAAGGATAAAAAGGGGTAGGGATGGGGTAAAAGTATGAAAACTAAGGAAATAAAATGCTTCATAGTTTTCAGATTTGCCACCAGAGATGCAATATTTTAAATACTGTCAGAAAGACTGACTTTTAAATATATATATATTTCAGATTTTCAGCACTAACAGATTGCATATATGCAGTTCATTTACTTTTAATGAATTGGCAATTGATATTTTATTGAATGGGGAATTAAGAATATAAATTATAAATTTTGTCTTCAATTGACTTTTTTTCTTGACCATTATTTTTATGACTTAAGGTAGGAGTTATATTTTAGAAGATTCTTTCTAGACAGTTGTAAGTTTGGGTGCTAACATGAAGAAAACATTTAAGGATATGTCATACTTCAGATATAAACACCTTGTTTGTTTGAATGTAATTTATTTATTGGTTTAAAAAAACAGTTTTTCTGCTCTCAAGATGGTACCTGTTAAACATAACATATATTTATTACATGGAAACTATTTCTTAGATAGCCACTTGTAAGCAGTAATGTTTTATCTGAGTAGATGTTCATTTATGCATCCTGATAATTATTTAAACTGTTACTTGACCTCACCCTGGAAGAAAAATAAACCTTAATATTGAAACTAAGTAGATTAACAGTGTGGTGTGTAGCTTTTTGTCCCAGTGAAGTTTATTAAATATATTTTAGTTCTTAATTTTTCTTATATTAAATCCTAACCATTTATAGTTATTTTATGCTAAATGATTTTGCATTTTGGCATACCAATTTCATGACTGACCCATTCAAACTTGGCCCGAGAGTGGAAGTCACCCTTCACTTCCAGTGCTCCAGTACTGCCCTTGGGCAGAATCGACCTGGACAGCAGGGATGATCAATAATCCCTCATGCGTTGAGACTGGAAACTTTTTCCCCAATCCTCAGCTTCTTCCTTTTTCCCAAGTAGTTCAGGATGAGTGTCCCCCTCCCTCCCTTTGCTGTAAACAGCAGTGGGCTTCCTTCTTCAGGGAGTTTGGGGAAAATCCCTGCAGGCACCAGAAAGTGCTAGTCTCTAACTTGAGCTTAACTGCCTTTGTCAGGCATCTGGTTAAACTAGTTAAACAGGTTCTACAGCCTGCCCTCAGGAAAAGAAAAAAAAACACAGTTAAAAGGCAGAGACCTCAGGGTCTTCTCCATTTTTGCCATTTTTGCACCTTACCACAGCAAATGCCTTCAGATGCTCCCTCTCCTTTTCATAAAAAGCCTATATGCCTCACAGGATATATAGGTGGACAAAAGTCTACTTCATCAGGAGTCCCTGTCCACGCCTCTGCAGAGGTCCTCCCCCTGGCCATGCAAGCCCTCTTGGTTACTTTGATAGAGTTTTTTTGTTTTTTTTTTTTAATTACAAGCCTTCAGTTGGTAGAGGAGAGCCAGGTACCTGGGTCACAGGACAAACAGGCAAGTCAAAATAAACAGACAAAAAAATTGGTCAGGGGCTTTGGGGGGGGGGTGCAGTGTATACAACCAGAAAACCTAAATGTCCTGCACAACCTTAGCCACAGGTGGCAGTGGCAGGAGAGCAAGGGAGAGGGATGCACTCTCCCATGTAGAGTTTCTCCTCATCTGGAGACACTTAGTTAAAAGGAGAAACCTATGTTAAGGTGACCAATTGTCCCTTATTTCCCTTTTTAGATGGGGAATCAAGCCTCAAGGATCAAGGAAGGATCCCCCCTTGCCTGCTTATTAAAACATTGGAAAGACTGATCCAGAATGTCTTCAGCAAAAGCAACTCAAGTTTTACTGCACCCAGGCTTGGCCACAGTATCCTCTGGGAGATGAGGAAAGATGGCCAGAAGGAGGGAGCATTAATTATACCATTCTTCAGTTACATGTTCTATAAAAAGGAGGGAAGTGGACTGAAGTTCCATATGTTCTACTGTTCTTTTTCCTAAGAGACCACCCAGAATGGCTGAGCAAATGCAGGCTAGATACCCAGACCATGGTGACCCTTTGCAAAAAGCCACCAAACTCCCTTGAGGAACCAAAGAACCCATCTGATGCTCCATCAGCTCCCCCTTTCCCCCCTTACCCAAGCTACCTCACACACTGGACTCTACCCCCTCCAGTTAATTCCTTGAGGAGATGAGGCTCACGTTCCTTTTAGAGTGAGTGAACTTAAGTAAAAAAAGGATTTAGGAAATTACACAGAAAATCCAGGTTACTACATCCAGGCATTCAGAGAAGTCAGCCAAAACTTTAAATGAGCTGGAAAGATGTAATGCTATTGCTATCTCAGACCCTTATTGCTCTGGAGAAACAGTGGGTACTAGATCAGGCAGTGAAAGCTGGGGACGATAATCACTTAGATAAATGTGGCCCTACAGGCTAATCTCAGACTGGGCCCTTACAGGAAGAGGAGGGGGAGGGAGTAGAAAGACAAAGACACTGGATACCTAAAAGGGAACCCCAATTGCCAAATCTGACAGGAAATCAGGCAGTACCTAGGTATGACCCTAAGTGGGACCCTGCATTCTTGAGGATCTAAGGAGAGCCAAGGTAAAACCCCTTAATTACTCCTAAGTCACAGCTGTACAGCAAGGACCCTTAGAAGCCCCAGTAGCTTTCCTACAGAGACTTAAGGATGTTTACAAAAGCATACCAACATTGTGCCAGAGTCACAGGAGAGGAAATTGTCCTAAAAGATAAATTCCTAACAAGCACCAGATAACCATAAAAAGCTTCAAAACCTGGTGGCTGAAGGGAGCAGAGATCTAGACCAATTGGTCCATGTAGCCACGTCTGTATACTATAATAGGGACTTAGAAAAGAACCTGGAAAAGGAAAAGAGAAAGGATAAACGACAGGAGGCTCTGATAATAGTGCTCAGAGAGGCTTCCCCAGGGCAAAGTCCAAACCCGAGGACATGCTTTTAATGTGGACAGGCAGACCATTTTAGGAAGGAGTGCCCCAAGAGAAAGCTACCTCCAGGACCTCCCCCATTTGTCAGGGTAAACATTGGAAGGGACACTGTCCTTAGTTCCCAAGGGAACTGAGGCCAGAGCCTCCCACCCAATAATGGGTCCTTGGGCCTCCCATCCAGGCTCCTGTAACCACCATAAAAGCAGAGGAGCCTGGGGTTATACTTACCATCGAAAAGCACAAGGTCAACCTCCTTGTCAATACTGGATCAGCAATTCCTTTCCCTCCCGGACCCAGGTCCTCCAAGAAATTTACTGTTCGAGGCATATCAGGCCAGCCCCTAGAGCGTTATTTCACTCAGCCTTTAGCCTGCTCCTGGGGAGATTCCCATTTCTGTCACTCCTTTTTAATTATCCCAGAAACCCCTCTCCTCTGCTAGGGGGAGACCTTCTATTTAAACTGGGGGTACAGCTCTTTTACCCCTAGGAGAGTACTTTTGCTTGCCCTGATAGAGGAACAAGTAGACCCCACGGTGTGGACAGGTGGACATACTGTGGGATGGGCATGAACAGTGGTCCTAGTCCTAATTCATCTCAAGGACCCCTCCTGGTTTCTGTTGGAGTCCGAAGTTGACCACCCCTCAGAGGAACAAAAGACACTCACGATAATGTAAGCCACAAAGCGAGGTTTATTTCCAGCCAGCTGGGGTCCAGGTATCTGCCCGACACTGTGGGTTTCAACACGGACCCCGAATACAAAGTTCAGGCTGCTTTTATATTTTTTAGACATTAGTCACGGTCACACAGCAATTTTTATGGTCCCTGGGGTCACATATTTCTGATATCACCCACATCTTGGTGGTGGGGCAAGATTACTTGAAGATTATTTATCAGGAATTTGGTAAACACCAGGTGTCTTAACTCATTGACTCACATACTGTTTTAGCAAGATTAACCAGAAACAGTCCCTGTTCCCAGAAACCATCCCACCCCCCCTTAGTTCCAGTAAGTGATGGCTTGGGTCATGTTAACCATGGCTGGTTTCAGGCTGAGTGGGCTGCAAGCCTCAAAGGTACCCTAACATTTGTAACCTAACATTCCCCCCTTTAGTTGTTCATAATGAGGAATCATGCTCATCTGGGCGACGAGCGTAAACATCCTCAGGGCTAGGTAACTGTTCATATTGCTGTTTCAGGACCATTAGTTGGACTGTACTAATTTGATCTCTCATGAAGGTCACTAGCTTATTCAGAATACAAGGACCAAAGGTTAAGATAAGCAGTAGTATGACCAGAGGGCCCACCAGGGTAGAGACCAAGGTAGTGAACCAGGGGGACCTATTGAACCAAGCTTCGAGCCAATTTTCTTGGGCTTCCCTTTCCCGTTTCCTTTTTGCCAGTCCTTCCCTCACTTTAGACATAGACTCCCTAACTACCCCTGAATGGTCAGCATAAAAACAACATTCCTCCCCTAAGGTGGCACATATTCCCCCCTGCTGAAGGAACAATAAGTCTAGGCCCCATCGGTTCTGAAGCACTACCTCAGATAGAGAGGTAAGGGATTTTTCTAGGTGACTAATGGAGGCTTCTATCCTCTCTATATCCTTGTCTATGGCCGCGTGCAGTGAGGACATCCCTTTATGTTAAGTAGCCAGGGAGGCTATGCCAGTTCCTGCCCCAGCCACCCCTAGGCTAAGTAGGGTAGCAATGGTTAATGCAGAAATAGGCTCTCTCTTCTTTCTCTCACCTGTTCCTGTATTCCAGTATGAATATAGGCTCTCCTCAGAATGATAGGTGATGCGGGGCAGCGCAGCCACTAGGACACAGAATTCTTTAGAGCCGTTAAACACATTAGTTGATAGGCAAGGGGTGAGCCCGGACTGTGAGCATATCCACCATCCATTGCCTTTTGGAATTGCCCACTTAATACCATCGCCCCAGGTGGGGTTGTTTTCTACAACAGCACATAGGTCCTGTTTTCCCACCGGCACCTTCCCTAAGCAGGTTCCTTGGCTGCTCACTTGTTGTATGGTCAGACCTCTCTTACAGTCTCCCCAGGAACATTGAGTGGGGTTTTCACTAGTCG